GAGCTATTTTTTATGTTTATTTGCGCAAAGAGTATTAATTTGTTTTAGCTAAAATAAGCCAAAGGGGGAGATTGTTAATTCTATAGTTTTGTGATTGACATTATGTTTGGTAAGACTAACTTAGTATAAATATGATTGAAAGAAGATGTTCTAGCAACTAGAGAAACATGTCAAACAAAATGTCCTATGCAGAATAATTCGACATCACGCCTGTGTACAACTGGATTGTTGGATTCTTTTAGATTTTATAGATGCAGAATATTTTGGGAATATTTTGATATCCTATGTGGTGCTCTGTTTAAGGATTAAGAGATTCAAGCTTAATTCAAGGAATATTCATAGTTTCTAATTATGGAGATAATTTAGGAAACTAATGATTGAAGTCATATTTTCATGCAAAAGTATATATTGATTTTCTACAACAGATCATCTACATTTAGAAGCCCAAATCCAGTTCTTTCAAGGTTATAAAAAGAAGACTTCAACCCTAATACAAGTGTGGAAGATAGAGTACATTGTGTTGTGTTGCAAACCATGATTTTAAGGGTTCTTGTGTGTTGATTGAACACTGAGTTTTAGTGAATGTATTAGGATAGTTTTGTTTTATTGTGAGCCTCTCTAATATCTCGTTGATATAAGAGTAGGACTTTATCTATTGAGTGGTAAGCATTGTTAATCACTATTAAGCTACTAAGTATAAAGTGGTTGTGTGTTTTGAAGTTTGTCTTCTAGTTTCATTTGAATTGTGTTCTTGTCACTGTCTGTGATTGGAAGGGATTTGAGAAAGGGTCTCATACCTAGGTGAGTCTTAGGTAAAAGTTAAGCAAGGGTAGTGATTAAGTGAGAAGTTGTAAACGGGGTAGTTTAGCCTCAAATTGATTTAGGAGTTGTTGTACACTGAATTTGGTTAATAACTCAGCGTGTTGTTTACTTTTTGAGCTAACTATTATATCATATTGTTCATTGTGTTTTGTTCAGATATCGGTGTCTCGACATCTCTTAAGACATTTGTGATCTGAATTCTAGAATTTCATTAACTCCTGTAATAAACTGACCAATTTTTCTAGAAGTATTGACCAACTTGGGAAATCTAACACTAAGTGGGATACTACCAATCCATGAATTCTCCTAGAAAAAAGTGAGAAAATCTTAGCCCACATTCCTCCTTAGACAATCCATAAATCAATTTGAAGGATCATCAACTTTAGAACCTTAAAAGGATACACATTTCCACTAGGTGTAAGAAAAAAGAAGATAGAAGAATCTACCTAATCAGGAGTAAACAATGTGAGGTCCATATATAGAAGATATGATATCCAAAGAAAGACTAATTTCACTCGAGAGAAGCCTCTACCATCATTTACTTAGTATAGAAAATTTTCCTAAGCGTAGATATCTAACCTATATATTTACTTTCCCATTAGGGTTGCATACATCTGACCAAGTGACCGACGATATCTTAAGGCTTCCTTTAACTTCACTCCACATAAAACTTCACTTAATCATTACTAACTTCTACTAAACCTTAACATGAATCTTAACAAAGGGTAAAAACAAAATCAGAGTATAATTAAAAGAAAAGTTAAGGATGGTGAAGCTACAACCATACTAAGATACATATGTCTCAAGAATGAAGCCGCCTAGAGACAAGATTAACTAACGGCTCCCAAGTAGCCTCAAGACATAGGTTTCCCCACACCGATAAGCCAAGGTGCTTGAATATGGAATGTCTTTTTTACAATGAATTTTTTTTCTCACCAAGTCAAAAAATAAGGATCAATGTTCATCCTAATAAGACTACTCCTGGAAAACTAACATGAAATCATGAAGCATTCTAGAACCTCGGGTATATTTCCTTTTTCACAAGAGACTATTCACTAAGACATATTCCAAGGTAAGGTATCATCGATGTAATGATGGTTGGAGATCACCAGGTCAGAGGAACTTGCCCAATCCTCAAAGAAGAGATTAACACCCATCGTTTTCCTTAATAACCCCCTCAGACCTTCTACTAACAACTAAAAATAAATAGGGCTAAGGTGTCACCTTGTGTAACACCCAAAATTCTATTAGTTTAGTTAATTAAATTATTGTGTTTTTATGAAATTGTTTAGTATGCAATATGCTTTTAATTAATATATTATGATTTTGATACGTGTGTGGTATATGGAGGGGTGCAATGAGAGTATTGATGGGTTGGAAGAATTATTAAAACAGTGAAAAATAATTGGATTTAATAGTTATTTTAATTAATTAAACTAAAATAAGAAAATAGTGAAACATGAGGTAGAAATTGGTATAATGAGATAAGTTGTGGGACAAGGTGAGAGAAACCAAAATTTGAGGGAAAAGTGAAAATAATTAGGGAGTTGGAAGGTTATGTAAAGATAAATAGATATTAATGCAACCTTTAGAGTTGTCAGTACATGATATTTTGGGATATCAAGAGAAAGTGGTAAGAACAATAACTTTGGGAGAAAGAAGCAACCCTAACCAAAGCTTTGAACACGTGCTAGCTGGAAATTCAATTAAGGTGGTGATTTCTCTTCTATGAGTGTATTGCATAATGGGGTAAAAAGGGGTCCTCACCTCCAATATGTTTTTCCACTATTCTTATGCTTTGTGAGCTTTGAGTGTGATTGTTAGAAATTAATGATATTACAATGTTTTGCGTGTAATTTTTGTTAATGTTATATTCTAAAAAAATTTCTATGAGTTATGAGAATGTATTCTGAAATTGATGCTTGCCATTGATGCGTTTTGGGGTTTTGATGATAAACTTGGATTCATAATAAATTAATGGCTTTGGTGTATAATAACTGGTTAAATGATGTAATGGACAGAGTATGATGTGTGAATAATGTTTGTTGTTCGATTAAGGTGTTTATAGGCCAAAATCGGAGATTTAATCAAGCTCACATGGCAAAAAACATATTTTTGCCTTCTAATTAAGATTAAGGGGCGTCATCAGCGTGACGGGTAGGTTGTCACACGCTTTGTACAGATGACAGTCTTCACCGTCATGATGGGGAGACCGTCTTGGCCTTTAGGAATGGTTTTTCATGTAGATCGTCACATGTGTGACATGTTGAGTGGAAAGGAGATGATGTGGTGGGTGACGGTCGTCACCTAGGTTACAGAAAGGTAGTCACGAGCCCAAGCTGATTGTCATGATGCCAATGGCTCAGTTTTTAGATGTTAGTTCAATTTTTCTAATCCGTTTTCATATACAATTGTTGTTTGGTGATGTTTCAATGAAAAATTTATGATTGGTGATAATTTAATTAAATATTATGTGATTAATTGGTGCTATAATTGTTGTATGTAAGTTACTTGCATAATATGATTGGTGATGTATTATTCAATGCATGCATATCATACTTGTGGTGTTGAGGTGGATTTATTGGCAGAGTATACGGTCAGAAGAGGAGCCAAATGTACATATTCATATATGTATGTTATTGTTGAGTTCATGCATTATGATGTACGAAATTTGATTCAATTGATGTGCTTTGGTCCAAGGAGTGGATCGAGATGGATTGGTGTACTCTTGTTCAGAGGAGGGAATCATGAGTGAGAATGGGCTTGTGATGATCATATCATACTTCATGCATTTAGAGTCGAGTATATTTGCATACATATTTGCATATGTAATTGAATAATTATGATGTTGTTGAGTGGATGATAATAACTTATGTTTTTGACGATTTGTTGTGAATAACGTGTGTGTGTATATAATGATTATGTGATTAAGATATCCTAACTTTGTTTTACACCACAAACATATTTTGAATGCATTATCACCTCTTTTTATTTATTGTGGTGTCTGGGCTCATATGGGATACAAACGAGAAGGTTAAGGAGTATCTACTTGAGGTAGAGGATAGTTTCAATGCATTAGTTGCTTATTCGTTCAGGTCTTTAATGGAGCCTATATGATATGTAACATTGTGGACAAACTATTCGTTTGTTTTCCTTATTACATGCTTTATGTTATATGGAAGTTGTTAAATCAATTTTGATTATTCTACGATTAACTGGACTTTAATGTCAAAACTATTTAATGTTTCGATGCGTATTTCCTAAATAATACTTTATTTGATTTTTATGATTGATGGATCATGTGTGTCAGTCTAATTGTTTGTGTTATGTTATTGAAATATCATATTCCTTATTGAGTTGAGAATTAGGGTGTTGCACCTTGCTTCCATCCTCTTTGAAAACTTATTTCTCTGGTTGAACAATCATTAACCAGCACATAAAAGATTCCTTAAAAAAGACACAAGCTGTCATGCAAGATCTTCAATATTTACTCTAACCAAATATGATAAGAATATACTTTCTACAACTCCAACCAACTTAATCCTATACTTTTCAAAATACTTTTTACAAATAAGGCATGATTTTTTTGTTTCTTAGCCATATGCATCAACTCTTTTAAAATAACTACCCCTTCAACCATTTATCTGCCTTTAAAGCTTTAACCTCAAGCTCATAAAGAAGTTGACCAGAAAATCGGTAAAAATTCACCTGAACATATTTTAGAGTAATCAAAATTATTCTCATATATTTTTTATTATCATCAACACTAAATAAGACATATTATCCTTAAAACCAATTTAATATTTACAAAGAAAAATACTTTCATCTAAAAATATTTAAATTACTAGCCAAAAATGTCATGCAATTAGATCTTATTAATCTGATTTGAATAATAGTTTATATGTATTTCAACTTTAAAATTTCTCTCTGTACGTAATCGATTGAAAGTAAAATGTCATTTTCTGCCAATAACAAGACAGAAACAACACTGTTTTCTCATCTTTACAAGTTTTAAAGATAATATTGATTAATATAGACTAGCTACCATCCCCACTACCATGTAAAGATTCCGTATATATTCCTCCTTCTTTCTATTATATAAAGAACGCACTTTCTTGCTATTTTTCTCATCCTTCACTACCAAATATCACATTTCAATTGATTTTGAATTTAGTACAATGGTTTCCAAAAGAACAATCCTCATTTTTAGCCTATTGGCAATGGTTCTTCTTATTTCCTCTGAGGTGTCAGCTAGGGAGTTTACTGAAGGTGAGCTAGCTATATATTATTTTTCTTAATTTGAACTTTAAATTTATATATTTTCAGAACTAAGACATAATTAATGTCTTATATAATTATCATGTTGGAGACTTCTTTCTTACTTAATTATACAATTATATATATATATATATATATATATATATATATATATATATATATATATATATATATATATATATATATATATATATATATATATATATATATATATATATATATATTTATATTTAAGATTTAAATTAACATAATGTGGTATTTGCAGAGATCGATGAAAAGTCAAATGAACTGAATGATGCCAAATTTTTTGGACATCATCGTCACCATCACGGTCACGATCACGGCCATGGTCATGGGCATGGGCACGGTGGTCATCATGGTGGACACGGTGCTGCTTCCGACAATGGTAACTGATAATATCATGATACATGATGCACATTCAAAGTAATAAGTTTGATGAATGAATAATGTTTGTGTTAAATAAAAGAGGTATATATAGTTATCAATCTGTTGTGGTTATGTATTATTATCTTTATATATGTGAAGATGAGTTTCATTTCGAGTCAAAGTGGTGAATGTGTTATCATTTGTAATACATCAAATATAATTGTTGTTTTTACTTTGCCTCCTTTTAAGTTTATAAATCCATACTACTTATTTGTATAAGATAGTTGGTTGAATAATTGACCGAACAAACCATGTAGCATTCATAATAATACAATCTTTTTGGAATGAAAAGTCATGTATAAATCATAATGGTAATCAAGAAAATGATCTTCGCTGTTGAGTGCATCTTCTAAAGCATGGACATATTTCATTGAAAGATCCAAATAAAACCATATCTTGGACATGGTAGATCGATAAAAACAATAAATAAAGTATAAAATTCGCCATCATTTGTCACTAGCATTCCACAATCCACATATACAAACATTTATTTTTATAAACCTATTTAATTACTTCAATTCTCTTATACTCATCTTTATTTCATAAACAACAATTATATGTATACAGATAATTCAAAAATATATTTCTATCTATTTCTCTCTTTTTCAAAATCTTCGATCACTTTTTTGTCATTAAAAATTATATCATAAAACTAAAATGAAATTCTTTTTTCTAGACACAATTGGAGTTAAATTTCAAAGAAAGTTCAAACAATTTCCAAATTTGGAGAGGTTTTAATTATTTAAGGTTGTTGTTCTTGATTCACTCGTATATGTCGGAGTGTGTGAATTTGGAAAGTAGCTGTTTTCTTGATAGTTTCTCGTATAAGTTTTGTCGATGCATGAGATTGTTGTTGATATTTTTGTTCTCTTAGATTCTAGATTTTTCTCAGACAATTGCTCCACTCAAAATTTGGCTTGTCTGCCACCCAGAAATATATGTGTAAATAAGGATTGCTACTTTGATAATTATGATTTACTTTTTCCACTGAAAATTCTCTAGAGTTGCAGCAAAATATTTGCATAGAAACAAATGTAAATATTTATTCTTATAAACAACTAATCACATATTTTTTCATTAATATAAACATAAAAATAATTATTTTTCTCTCCTTTATTATAACAACCATCCCATAATTTCAATTGAAAATAAATTAAATTTTAAATAAATTTAAAAAAACAACACTTTTATATCTATCTATATAATATATTAAATTTAATGTATCAAATATTATAACAACACATCATCAATTATAACTCTAACACATCATCAAATATAACTATAAATTTGTCACATTATCTTATAATCTTATGTGGCACATTCCAAAATTCATTTTCATCTTATATTTTTACAAATTGGAGATCACGAGTTCGAACCCTTGCAATACGAAATAATATATCATTTTTAATAAATTTATCTAACAAAATCAGGATATAATTAAAAACAAAGTTAAGGAGGGTGAAGTTACAACCATACTAACATACATATGTCTCGAGAATGAAGCCGTCCAGAGACAAGATTAATTAACGACATCCAAGTAGCCTCAAGAGAAAAGTTTCCCCACATCGATAGGCCAAGGTGCTTGAATATGGAATGTCTTTTTTACAATGAAGAAATTTTCTCACCAAGCCAAAAAATAAGGATCAATGTTCATCCTAATAAGACTACTCTTGGAAAACAAACATGAAATCATGAAGCATTCTAGAAGCTCGGGTGGATTTCCTTAATCAACAAGAGACTATTCACTGAAACATATTCCAAGATAAGGTATCATCGACATAATGATGGTTGAAGATCATCAGGTCAGACGAACATGCCCAATCCTCAAAGAATAGATTAACACCCATCGTTTTCCTTAATAACCCCCTCAGACCTTCTACTAACAACTAAAAATAAATAGGACTAAGGTGTCACCTTGTGTAACAACCCAAATTTGATTAGTTTAGTAAATTTAAGTACTGTGTTTTTATGCAATTGTTTAGTATGCAATATGCTTTTAATTAAATATATTATGATTTTGATACGTGTGCGTGGTATATGAAGGGTTGCAATGAGTGTATTGATGGGTTGGAAGAATTATTAAAACAATGAAAAATAATCGGATTTAATAGTTATTTTAATTAATTAAAATAAAATAAGAAAATAGTGAAACATGAGATAGAAATTGGTATAATGAGATAAGTGGTGGGACAAGGTGAGAGAAACCAAAATTTGAGGGCAAAAGTGCAATAATTAGGGAGCTTGAAGGTTATGTTAAGATAAATAGATATTAATACAACCTTTAGAGTTGTCAGTACATGATATTTTGGGATATCAAGAGAAAGTGGCAACAACAATAACTTTGGGAGGAAGAAGCAACCCTAACCAAAGCTTTGAACATGTGCTTGCTGGAAATTCAAGTAAGGTGGTGATTTCTCTTTTATGAGTGTATTGCATCATGGGGTAGAAAGGGGTCCTCACCCTCCAATAGGGTTTTCCACCATTGTTATGCTTTGTGAGCTTTGAGTGTGATTGTGAGAAATTCATGATATTGCCATATTTTGCGTGTAATTTTTGTTAATGTTATATTCTGGAAATTTTCTATGAGTTATGAGAATGTATTCTGAAATTGATGCTTGCCATTGATGTGTTTTGAGGGTTTGATGATAAACTTGGATTCATAATAAATTAATGATTTTGGTGTAAAATAACTGGTTAAATGATGTAATGAAAAAGTATGATGTGTGAATAATGTTTGTTGTTCGATTAAGGTGTTTAGATGCCAAAATCAGAGATTCAATCAAGCTCACGTGGCAGAAAACATATTTCTGCCTTCTGGTTTAGATTAAAAGGCATCATCACCGTGAGGGGTAGGTCGTCACACACTTTGTACAAATTACATTCTTCCACGTCATGATGGGGAGACCGTCTTGGCCTTTAGGCATGGTTTTTCATGCATATCGTCACATGTGTGACATGTTGAGTGGAAAGGAGATGATGGGGTGGGTGACGGTTGTCACTCACGTGAAGGGAAGGTTGTCACGAGCCCAGGATGGTCGTCATGATGCTAGTGGTTAGGTTATAAGATGTTGGTTCAATTTTTCTGATTCATTTTCATATACACGCAAAGTATAATTGTTGTTTGGTGAAGTTTCAATGAAAAATTTATGGTTGGTGATTTTCATAAGTGGAAGAACCAAATCGCAACTTTAAAGCCTTTGTAAAAATGTACCATCGGCTAACATGTTTATTTGGTGCAGCCATTTAAACCAATATAACACATCCCCTTTCATTTAAAAATAAATTAATGATAAACGGGTTTCAGGTGGTAAATTGTAAAAATCGAAAAACTACACTGCTTGAAATAACCACTCTAAAGGATTTGACCCATCAAAAAGGCTATTTCTAGTTTTGTGGATCGAATTGGTGGTAATGGGGGTATTTGGGACATTTGAGGGTATGGTGGCTGATAATGAAAAAGTTTAGTATAGGTCTGGGTTGGGGTAAAAACATATTGTTGTTGGAGAAAGGACGGATATGGTGGAAAAGGTGGAGGTGGCTGAGTTGTTGTGAATTGTGGTGGTGGTAAAGTTACCGCAGCTGGATGTAGTGTGTGGGTAGGAATTATGGTGTTACGCAAGGGTGTGTTAATAGGTGTGGAGGTAATGGTGACATGAGCGGTTAACAAAGGAGATGAAAAGTGTGTATGAGTAATACCTGAGCCGCTTGCTACTGACTGCATTGTAGACATCTTCGGTTGTTCTCGTTGAGTAGAGATCTCATGTAAAATCGTCATGATGAAATATTTCTGAGATTCCACAATACTCTTCTCATTTTCAAATCTCATGTTCATTTCCCCAAATTCCTGAGCAAAATCCACAGTCACAGGGTCAAATCTTTCATTAGGTTGGAGTTGTTGTTCTTGCAGCGCATTGTTCAGTTTTAGATGAGTCAAGTTCACGGTTTCTTCCACAATATCCTTTGAAAAGGGTTGGTGGGTTTTTGGGGAGCCATGTGTATAAGGTAGGAAAAAATAGATACAATCCTTGTTTAGCTTCCATGAAACCCTAGAAGTGGCTACCGACGGTGTTCCTGCGTTGGCTGCAAATGCAACCGACAAACAGAAAAAAGCCCATAACAAAGTCAAGAAGAAAGATTGCAAGGCTTCTTATTTCATTCAAACGGTTGTTGATGCTGTTAATTTCGACATACTCTCTCATGCTGAAACGACGAAGGAGGCATAGGATGTTATGGTGAAGTATTACGAAGGAGGTGAAAAAGTCAAGGTTGTCAAATTACAAACCTTGCATCGATAATATGAGTTGTTGTCGATGGGAAAAGATGAAAAAGTTGTAGAATATGTGTCGAAGGTTCAGAAACTCATCCATCTCATGAAGGGTTATGGTGAAACCTTTACTGATAAGATGATAGTTGAGAAGGTAATGAAAATGTTCACCTATCACTTTGATCACGTTATCGTAGATATTCAAGAATCCAACAATCTTGAAACCACTAAAGTGGATGATTTGGTTGGTTCGTTAGAGGCGCATGTGATGAGGATTGTTGAAAGGAAAGAAGTTCAGGACTCGATACAGGCACTGCAAGCTCACTCATGCAAAAAGGATGGTGGTTCCAACAAATTCAAAGGAAAGTTCGAGAAGACTCATGGCAAGAAGTCTTGGTCGAATCCCCATATGAATAAGGTTGAAGATAGATCTTCTGAATCCTCGAAAAGGGGAGGAGGAAACTATCGAAAGGACAAAGAAGATAAGAAAGGTATGAAATGTTATAACTGTGAAAAGTTGGGACACTTTGCCAAGAATTGTTGGTACAGAAAACATAAGGGATCGACAGGCAAGGACGAAGGAGCGAACCTTGTACGCCAATATTCAGATGATTCTGAAGGTGGTATGGTGGTTATGGTTGCAGTTGCAGATAATCATGTCGAATCCAAGATCTGGTTTCTCGACTCAGGCTGCTCGAACCAC